AGATCCCCTGTAGACTGAGGTGGCGGCAGCTGGAGAACTTGCCTGCGCGACTGGTGGGCGCGGCGCTGTATGAGAACGGGTTCGTGTTGAAGGTGCGTTGTTCTGTTTTTGTTTGTTTTATTGATTTGTTCGGTACGTCTTGTTGCTTGTGCTGATGGATTGGGTTGGGAATGCAGATCGCGGATACGCACCAGTGCGACTACATGGCGATGCCGCTTGTCACTTGATGGCATTCCGAGCTCGCACATACATACAGACGACGATCTTGAGACGGGCGACCGGCCTCAGCATCAGAACCGGTTTGATTTACGAAGACTATATGATATGCCAATTATGATAATACTATGACATCCTATGATTTGTACCATATAGCGCTTATCCGTCGCGGACAGCCCATCGTGTATCCTAGTAGTTACATTGTATATCGAGATCCTTGTTGGTTTGTATGCGTTAGAAGTACATTGCAGGTCCTGAGAGGCGTCGTAATCTAACGTCCAATAGCATAGCGATCGAGAACTAGTGCAGCGTACGAGTGCGTATACGTATACGAGGAGGTGCACAAAGCGGACAGAATTATCGTGCGAGCAGGCTTCCGCTGCCCGCGCATGAAGACGAAGAGGAAACGCCATGTCCTTCGGCGTAGCTGCGAGGGGAGTCGAGTTGGGGAGGCGAACTCTCGTCCCGAGGTACTTCTTGGATATCGAGGGACTCTCGCTCGGGATCCCCTTGGCCTTGCTTTGCCAGCAGGCGAGTCACGGTGCCTTCAAGCGTATACTTAACCCGCCGCGTGGGTCGGCTCGGAGTCGGATGTGCACTCGGCAATGCTGGTTCTGAACGAGCGTGTAGATGTTCCCGCATTCCCATTGCCTCCTCATGAGGTCCGACACCTTCGTCGTCTGGGGTGTCTGCGAGCCTGAGGGAAGGGGTGCTAGAGCCCGGGTGCTGTAGGGCTGTGATGGTCGCGAGTGCGTCTCTGTCTGCGAGCGCGGAGAGTGCGCTCTCTGCAGAGATCACAAGGTGTTTCAGAGACCCTGTATTATGTGAGCGGATGAGAAGTTAGGCTTCGCTGTCCGGGAGCAGCGGCGGCGGGGGGAGATAAGGAGGTGAACGACGACGTACGTTCGAGACTCAGCATGAACAACGTCTTTGCACGATTAGACGAGACGAAGAGCGCATATATGAATATGAGCCAGGGGGAAGCAGTAGCGGGACAAGTTACGATACGACGCACCTTCCTCGCATCGGCGTCCTGCAGTATCTCGCGCTTCACCCGCTCGTTGATCCCCTCCATCTCTGCAAGCTCGTCCAGCAACGTCCGCATGTCCGGCGGGATGTTCAGGTTAGTACCGGCACCACCGTTATCACCCGCGCCCTCCGAGTCCCCTTGCGAGTCGCCAACCGCATCTGGATCCCCGTCCGCCGGCGTACGACCGGACAGGAAGAACTGCATATGACTGTGGAACGCCCGCGAAGTCTGTACGATTTCCGCAGGAAGCGCCTCGAGGGCCTTCCGCGCGACGTCCTGTGCTTCCTGGTGCCGCTCTGCAGTCGACTTGACGTTGGAACCGTGGTGAGGATCGGATGTCGACTCTTCTCTAGGGTGTTGGTGACCGCTTCCGCTCCCAGAACCATCCTCGTCCTCGATCCCCTCCCGCTCATCGTTGGAGCGGTTCTTCCTCTCGAAGGGACCGTCGACCAGTGGGCGCGGCCGCGTCTTGCCTTTCTGCAGCTGCTTCTTGCGGTACTTCTTGACCGCCTTGTCGAACACGTGCGAGTGGAGGGCGCTCTTGTACCGCGAGGAGCCAGCTTCTTGTAGAACTGATGCGTGACGAAAGAAGAAGAAAACAGTCAATTGCGGGACAGAGGTGCGAAGAAAAACATTGGAGAGGAATTGTACCGGAGACGACGATGGTTAGAGTGCCGACGCCGAAGAGAGCCCAGACGACGAACACGGACCGCCCGGCTGGTGTCTGGGGCGAGAAGTCGCCGAAGCCTGTCGTACTGAAGGCCAGGAAGCCTAAGGGCGTGTGCGGGTGGTGGGTATGAGTGTAGTGTACGATATAAATGCGCATAGTAGGTCAAGATGACTCACAGAAGTACATCGCACTCCCATACGGCCATCCTTCGGTCGCAGCAAAAATCGCAGAGCCGACCTATATTAGAAATCATGTCATCCTACTCGAAATGGCCAAACGTGACCGGAGATATGACACTACACTCACTGTCCAAAAGACGAAGAAGAGCATCCATACAATCGTCAACTAGGACAGACAGAGAATCCGATGAGATTGACAGTGATGGCGGGTGGCATCGATGGGACGGCCCACCTTCACGTAGTACGCCTTCTTCTCCTCTGCCTCCATGTCCGCCATGAACTTCTCGTACGTCCACGGCGACCGCTGGTTCGCTCCGCGGGAGAAGTCTTTCAACCATCTCGCAGTGGGGTGCTTCATCGAGCCCTTGCGCTCTTGTCCAGCCTCAGGATGACCCTCCTCGCTCTCTTCGTTCGTCTCAGAAGTATCGTTTGGGTTTCTGGCATCCCTCGGATTCGCGCTCTCAGCCTGCGGGAGACGTTGCGCACCTGGTGCGTGAGCATGTGCCCCAGCGACGGCAACAGCGAACTTGGTCAGTATTGCAGAAATCCGCCCCACCTGCGCATGCGTCGGGGTCTGTGGATGGGACGGCCAACCGCTCGATATGTTCTCGTGGAGCGCATGGGCGGCGTGAGTTTGGGCGAGGGCAGGGGTGACACCTTTGTTTGCCTGCGCGTGCACAGGGAGGCTGCCGACCTCACGAACGCCATCGTGGCCATCGTCGTGTTCATCCTTACCACGTCGTCGGTTGCCCATATCCAAGAACATCTCGAGCGGTACGCCAGCCTCGAGTGCAGCCTCCTCGAGCTGCGCGGTGGTGAGTGCGTCCACGTTGAGGTGCTGGTTCCGATGTCCCCCAAACACAAACACGGTGTCCACCGAGGACATCGTCGCAGTGCGCTTCAGGCTCTTCCCGACGCGCTCAAAGAACGGCACCCTGATGCCCGGCAGGAGCCTTGAACCACCAAATCTGTCCCCTATGTCCAAGTGCGAATGCCGTCCATTGGAGACCCAAATCGGTTGGTTGGCCTCGCGGAGGCGGAACTCCACGGCACGCTGCCAGCGAGCCTCCCATCTCCGAAACCTGCGGGCGTCGCGCCTGCGCTCGCGCATGTTGCGCATACGGCGGCGGTATCCAATTTCGAGACCTTCGAGGATCGTCTCGCGGCACATCGCGATGACCACGCCGATGTTGATGACGCCGAGGACGACGTAGACGCATGTCCATACCCGCGCGCCAGTGGACTTGGGGACGATGTCGCCAAAGCCGATCGTCTCGATGGAGACGACGGTGAAGTAGAGGCCGTCGATGAAGGTGAGGTGCAGCAGGAGGGAGTTGATGAGCGCCCCGAAGGCGATGTAGACGAGTAGGACGATGACGATGATCATGAGTGCACGTTGCCTCCGGGTGAGCCCGCTCCCTAGTATGAAGTCTTCAGGGTACTGGGTCGGGCAGAGAGGACTGCGACTTACCGCGCTGGGCGAAGTCAGGGGTGCGGATGAAGTCCACTATTAGGCTGACGTTTGTTATGGTAGACGCGATGGTAGAGCAGAGTGTCATCCAGAAAGCTTCGCCGTATGTAAAACCGTCGTCAAAGCGATGCTCAACACCGAAGACGGTAACAACGACAATATTGATTATATCTGAAGGGGTGTCAGCGGACGTATGGGGTACATGCACGAGTCATTGGGACCCACCATGAATGGTCAGGAATACGATGCAAAGCAAGGTCACAGTCTGAACTCGCTTCTCAAGGAAGCGGAGAACGAGACCGACATTGGCTATGAGAGCACAGAGTATGGAGAAGCCAAGTGCGACGTCGAGGATGACAGAGTTCGGTTTCGTCTCGACCGTCTGGAAGCCTTCCGTCCGGATATACCAACGCTCCGTGAGGCCTGGGATTTCCAAGAGTATAGAAAACGGGATGATGATTCCTGACACGATTGGTGTCCAGCGGTAGTTAGGAACCAGGATATCATATTCAGCAGACTGTTCGTGAGGAGGCCAAATATACGCCTTGACCCTAGAATACAGCGTAGGAGCAGCTATGCCAAGGTCCTCGGTAGACGTGTTGACGTGCAACGGCTGGGAGAACGTGGCGCGTGAACGGACACTACGTACACGTCGGCGTGGCGGGTCCATAGGCAGAAATTCCTGAGAAGAGCCATTGTTGTCGGTGTCAGAATCGTCGTTGTGTTCTGTGGGTTCATTTCGTCTTGGGGTTACGGATTTTGCGCTTACAGCCTTCTCCGGGTCGGAAGGCTTGCTCCGTACAGCATGGCCGAGGAGTAAAGCGGGCACAGCAAGAGAGAAGAGACCCATAGTAGATATCGTCGTTCCTAGCTGTAGAAGCGGCGAGTAGAGTGCTCCCTGAGATGTGATAGTAGCAGTACCGTTTAATAAGGGGTCAGCTTCAAGTTGAAGAGTAGCTAACCGAGACTCACTGCTCTATTGTGAAAAGATCAAAGGGACAAGAGCGTCACTCATATTCCTGCGAATTCGTTCAAGATGTTGGAATCAAGAATGCTGAAACAGTGTACTACGCATGTGGCGGGGTGCCTCGAGGAAGGTTACTACCGTAGTACTAGGAGTTTGTGACAACGGCAGTGGGTTCAAATCCGTCCTTTACAGAATGGTTAAGTGATGACTGGGGCCAAGCTTACAAGAGTTACGAGGTTCTGGAGGATGAATGTAGTAGTGGAGGTACAGCAGTCATGGAGCTTGTCGAACCTCAAGCCGTGACAGGATCCAATTACGGAATCATTGGGTCTAGACGCTCATGTGAACCTCTTCTATGTTTCAACGTCGACACTCACGCTCTCGTGAGGTCACAGTGCGACTGCAATGAGCCCACCTAAGTAACGATAGTCCTTCAGGACCTTCGTGGAGTTGCGATCGGTCAAAAATGACCACCGCAGGGGTCGAACCTGCAACCTCCTGATTTGTCGGGACACAACATGCAGATTTGATCCTTCGTAGTCAGACGCGCTTCCATTACGCCAGGCGGCCATGATCAATAACTCAATGCTGTCGTTGTCAAGTGGTCATTGATAATTCCATACGTCAGATTCCGTAAGATAGATGATGCTGAACCCCTATAGAGTCTGAGATAAGTTTTGCTACTAGTGTATGAATCGATTCATGCAAGCAATTGGATGCTGGGATATTGAAGTAAGTCAGGTAATACCCTCACTGGGTAAGTGCAGCATTCTCTACAGAAATACACACAGGAGAGTCTGGCTCCATATAATCATGACATCTTATTGAGATGTGCTAGGAGCCTTCGATAACCAAATTTGGAGAGCAGAGCATAGGTTCTGGCTTTAATAATCAAGTAAGAGTGAAATGAGCCTCTTACTTCTATAATGTTTTTTCCATTCCATCAAGATGATGTGATGACTGCATGATATACCTTGTTTTGACTCTGTAAAGAGTGTACAATAAGATAAGATTAGGATGGACTCTGCCCTATAGGAAACAAATAGGCAAGAAGTCAGCTAGGAGAGGAAAGGAAGAGCATACTCTCTGTAACTGCTGCCTCAATGGGTGTATGTTGTGAGTTATCATGAAGTTTTGCTGGTTTCCTGTAGGACAGAGTCCATCCTAATCCTTAGTGTACACTCTTTACAGAGTCAAAACAAGGTATATCATGCAGTCATCACATCATCTTGATGGAATGGAAAAAACATTATAGAAGTAAGAGGCTCATTTCACTCTTACTTGATTATTAAAGCCAGAACCTATGCTCTGCTCTCCAAATTTGGTTATCGAAGGCTCCTAGCACATCTCAATAAGATGTCATGATTATATGGAGCCAGACTCTCCTGTGTGTATTTCTGTAGAGAATGCTGCACTTACCCAGTGAGGGTATTACCTGACTTAATGTCCATGGAAAAACACGCAGATTTGACGGAGATATAACAAGATTTCTGGCGCCTAATGCTGCCGTGCAGGAATTTGAGCGCCACTGCGATCATAATCATGTGATGACAAACTTGAGCTAAGTCCTTCAAGCCTCCTTGGACTTGATCCTGACCGCCCGACCATCCTCACTCAAAACACAATGTCTCTCCAACAGTATCAGACAGAGCTCATCGAGCACAGCCTCTCCGCCGGCGCACTGCTCTTCGGAACCTTCACGCTCAAATCAGGACGGTCTGTCTACTCCCACCCTTAAGCAAAAAAGTCCTCATGCCTTCGCGAATCTGCCCAGCGAGTCCCCATACTTTTTCAACGCGGGACTCCTTGCGTCTGGACCTGTGCTCAACACCCTCTGCTCGGCATACGCATCGACGATCGCCGCCGCGCTCAAGGGCGGCCTGCCAGAGTTCGACGTCCTGTTCGGCCCGGCGTACAAAGGCATCCCATTTGCCGCGGGCACCGCTCTCCTTTTGCACCGCGACCACCAGATCGATGTCGGTTTCGCGTACGACCGCAAGGAGGCGAAGGACCACGGAGAGGGCGGTGTACTCGTAGGTTCCTCAGTCAAGGGCAAGCGCGTGGTGATCCTCGACGATGTCGCGACGGCCGGCACTGCGATCCGGGGTGCGATTGACGTCGTGCGGCGAGGGGGTGGAGAGGTCGTTGGTGCGGTGTTGATGCTGGATAGGCAGGAAGTGGGGAAGGAGGGGCGGAGCATGATCGCGGAAGTCGAGGAGCTGCTGGGAGGCAAGGGGCGCGTGCAGACAATCCTCACCATGCACAATCTCATCACCTGGCTGCAGGAGCATGGACGGGGTGCGGAACTTGAGAAGATGAAGCAATATTGGGAGCGGTATGGAGCTAAGGATGTTGCATGAGGTTTGGAGAGGATCAGACGATGTTATCGGCGGTTCCCCGCAAGCTAAGTAGCTCTTGCACCGATGCTGCATCTGTTGTATCAACAAGACCTCGAAGCAAAATCGCACGAATGTAGCATAGATACATATGACCAGTTCCTCGGAAGAGCGTCAAATGGAACATAGCAGACAGAGAACTCACTGGATAATAGACACCTATCTGATCCATAGCCGTGCATCTGCACCCCATGAGTTCTTCTGCGATTCGACGCTTCTCAGGGTTGAATGTGATTTTACTCCGTTGTACAGCACAATCCTAGGCGAAACATGACACCACTACGAGTCCGATGTCAGCTCATTGCCGGATGCAAGAACAAAAACCCGACTCACAGACATGATAACCCAACCCAACCCTCACTCTCGTCCACACCTTCACTCCCCAAGCCTCCTCCCCGGTCCCCAATTGCGTCCCGCGGTCGTATCCTCCTCCCTCACCCTCCTTGGCGGGACAACAGTCACACCTCCACCCATATTCACCGCCCCTCCCAAACCTCCGCGCTCTCCCATGAAGTTCTTTAGCCACGTCGGCGCGCGTCCCCACTCGCGCAAAGCCCCCGTCTCCCATACGCCCCACCACCAGAGGTGGCCGACGACGGCGCCGGAGATGCTGACAGCCGCTGCTTGCGGGCCGCCCGTGAGGAAGTCCATGGCAATGAAGAGGTAGGGGAGGTACTTGACGGGAAGCGTGATGAGCCCCCAGAAGGATGTCTGCGAGCCTGCGGGCGCGAGCGAGGACGAGACGTAGGTGAGCGCGATGAGGAGCGCGCGGGTGTGGATGAAAGTGCGGAGGGGGATGTTCAGAGCCTGGATGGGAAGTGCAATTGAAGACGGTCGCGGTGAGTCATTGGCAAAGGGGCGGGAGTAAGGACATACGAGAATGCCCATGGCTGCCCAGGCGAGCTGCCATGCGTAATCTGAAGAGCGGGCGGCGTAGTGTCTCGATTCTAGCTCGTCCGAGTTACGGCTGAGGAGCAGAAAGAAGTCAATGGAAGAGGGAAGCTTTGAGGGACGAGATACACGCACTAGAACATGGCGAGGTCGAAAATGAAATTGATGCCACTGCCTGTTCAGGGTCATCTCTATGAGTACTTTCGCCAGTGGCAATCCTACACAGATCAAAGTGCGCAGAGCATACCTCCAATAAAGAAGGTCGTATACACTCGCCATATCTGGAAGAGACCGTTAGCCGTCCCATTCCATGAAGATCGCCGCCGGGGTGCATGCGTATAGCTCTGCGTGCTAATGCATTGCAGTGTCTCGTGCTTCACCTCCAGCCTCATAGCTGGTGCAAGTCATTTACTCACCTCATACTGGCGTGTCACAAACTCCTTCACAAAAAACAGCTTATATGCGGATACGAGCTGCGTCATCATAGGAAGCGACACGCCGAGCAAGGATCCGCACAGAAAGCGGGTGACCGGTGGGATCTTGCGAATCTCGTCCATGAATCCTGACATGGTTGCAGTTGTTTCAACGGTCCAGAGAGTGAAGTACAGCAGAAGATGGGTAGCAGATATACAAACACTGAGTAGACGAGGGTGAAAGGAAGAGGCGGATGAGGACAGGCCAGTGGGACAGCACACATATTAGTGAATAGGCGATGACCTCACAGTGAACACGTAGACTCTACCGCGGTCACGTGTATTGATTAGGCGCGTCTCAGTCTTCTCCGATTCTCGCGTGCCTTCTCGACTTTTCTTGCAATAGCCCAGCACAAACGTAGACATGACCAGGTTTGAAGCTATCCACCACATCATCATTGGCGAGTGATTCTACTCAAGGATCCCAGGTAAGGACTACTACTATCCCGATGAACGCACAAGGGTCAACTCATCCTTGTCCCGATTCTCTTCAAATGGGTCTATACCATATTCAGGACCAGATGGTGCAGCGCGAAATCTCACCCTACTCCCTGTTCCCGGCCCTCCGACCTTGAACTGACGGTACGTCCAAGACCAGTCCTTTGTCTTCCTCTCGTCCACCTCCCTTTCCATGCCCACCCGATGATACAATTCATACCCATGCCTCTCTACCAGCATCAGTGTCAGCTCTATCACTCCTTGTGGCATCGGTGCACCCCGAGGAGTAGACTGTACAATCCATGTATCCGGGTTGCGATTGCGGTTCATTTGATGTCCTACAACCACTACCCAAACCTCCCTGTTATCATATGACCTTGATAGTGCTAGTTGAGAAGTAGCACAATCATGCATGGCGTCCTGAGCAGGACTGCTTCGCAGCAGCGCGGCCTTGCCCCAGAAGACAAGATATCCAGAATCGGACAACTCGCCTCTCGGTGCACCCATGGTGGACCAAGCGTTGCTATCTTAGCCCTTGACGCCGATGGCCTCCACTGCTGGAACTCTCCCTTTTCGCATATGAATGTATGCTCGCCCGCCCACGCTCGTCTCCGGCATCTCTGGCAACGTCGACAGTTCCCGACAGGAGTCCATTTCCGGAGCGATGAAGAGCCATGTCGCGTAGCCGTGACCGCCCTGCATGACCGCTTGTATCACCGCAATGGTTGCGCGTGTCCGATCGTCCGTTTGGAAGCGTGCGACGTCAAGGTGAACCCCAAGTAGACCCATTACACTGAACACCATGTCCACAGGACGCGATGATGACCGCGTGTAGGCTGCGATCCAAAGAGTCAGGGCCGTCGCCTTGCGAGTTCTCAGCACCTTGTAAAGCAGCTGTGCCTCCGGCATGCGAAAGATGCGGACGGGGAGGTTGTCGGGCCTGTTGCGCGCCATCGCAGGCGCGTGTAGGCGTAGTCTCCCCAGCATGACCTGTGTGTCTCGCAGCATCCCAGTCAGCTCTGCAGCAGCAGACTCTCCGGGTTCGAGGATCTGTTCTGTAAACTGTCCGTGGGTGGTGTTGTTTACGTCCGGAGGTGTGAGGATATTGTCACGAAACGACTCAGGGTAATCCTCCTCCTCGCAACGACGCTGGAGAAAATCACGATACGACGGATGCGTGAGTTTGTACACGAACTTGGTCTTCTTTTCTCCTGGGACCACGGCCTCTTGGAGCGTCCAAGCCCGGTCTATCCAGGACGTCGTGTCGTCAAGACGCGCGAGGCGCACGAGTCCTCCCGGGAAGACTAGGCAGATCGTGCAGCAGCGGTACAGGTAAAACATCCGCTGGATCTGCCAAATCTTGTCAACCTTA